GTATGTTGATAGTAAAAAGCATACGTTTTCTTAGAGAAAACCACCCTGACCTTAGGGTGCACTTATTGTCTTTTAAGTCTGACAAACACTGTAGGAGCGCCAATTGGCAACAGTTTTCCCTTAAAACTACAAAGGCAACTTCATTTGGTTTGGATGACACACAGGGCCACATGGATGCATAGCAACATCAAAAGTTGAAAGAACTAGCTAACCGTAAAAGGTTTGAAGGGGATCTCTGGCTAGGCAAAACCTTCTTCATTTTTCAATTGCTTTTTGTCTGTTTGCCAGCTGCAAAGTGTTTGAAGTGGCCGAGCCTTGAGAGGAACCATTTACACTGACAATAGTTTGAAGTACTGTAAGGCCACTTTCTTGGCTGTGGAAGCAAAGTTAAATTTTTGAGACACAGCTTCACTGTATACAATAACAGGGCAAATACATTAATGCTAAGCAACTCTGGAAAGACATTACTCATTCTGTGCTATGAGAGAACTGTGAAAGCATTGCTTTAAGGCAATACCCAAAGCCAACACTCCCAACAGCTCGAGACAGGTAGTTTCTATGGCACTGAAGACAGAATCAACAACACAGTATTTAGATGACAGCTGTTGGCCAAAGATGTGTTTTGTTTTGTTTTTTCTCCCTGGCACATGCTGTCATGAATTCATATAAGTGTCTATAGAAAACAAAATCTTAAACACAACTATAGAAATGGATTTTTGCACCTTTACAAACTTTAATTGCATCTCAGTTAGCTTTTTAACATTGCCACTGCATTGAGTGTTGTTTTTACAGTCAATGTACTAGCAACTACCAAGGAAAGGAAAACTATATCACTTTTCACCATGCTGTTTTTTTTTAGAGCAACATACTTAAATTGAATCATTAAATCAAGCTCTCTCTCGAATATGTCTAATGTTTTCTGCAGAAACTCTCACTCTTACATGTCATACACTGCTTGTGTATATCAGCCTGGACCAAAATTCTAAGTCTGTGTGGTTGTGAGGTTGGAATTTATGACTCCTGGCCATCACTCACACACTAAAGTGAATATAATTTGACTTCTTCAAATGTTAAGGTCTTGTTTGTGGCCACACAGCTTTAACTGTACACCCATGGGAAGTGTTGGCTTTCTAATTGGATTATCAGATTGGAAAGATCTCTCTGTGTGGCTTGGGTCATATAAAGCCATACAATTGAACAAAAAAGTTATAATGTATGGTCAAATTTTAGGCTCAAGGGATGGCAATGCTGGCTCAATCCAACACTTAAGTTCAGAGTAAGATATCCCGTCAAACACTGAATGAATTTCCCATGACATTTAGCATAAACATGCTTGGCTACCTGAGGGTGAGCCCTATCAGCTTTGTTTGTTCTCTGACTTTTCCTTGAGCACCATCATGGGGTAAAGTTTTTGGTTGTTGTCCTGACAACTACTGAATGGACTGCCATGACATTGCTGCAGGTATGCAAAAGCCCCAAAGGATGAATCCTAACAACTCTGGTGATCTCCTGACATTACATATGATCCCACCAACATGTCATAGTTTCCATTTACCTAGTGACATAACCCAACATTTACTGCATGTAAACCATAGAATATAATATAATAGACGACGCCACTGTGAGGTCACCCATTATTTGGTGAACTCCGATTGAGGGGTAAAACTGACTCATACACTGACGCAACAGCTAGCAAACAGTTTTACATGCAAAGTGGTTAAGCCCTTAAATATGCTTAACTTTAAGCCTTAACTTTAAAATGTAAATGGGTGTGTTATACAAAAATTCCCCCCTTGTACAGTTTTCATGAGTGTTGAATTTAGTTTTAAAGACCAAAAGCATTTTTTTGGAACCAGCCTCAAGTGGCCGTTCAAGGTTTTGGCGCTTGCACATTGGCTTCATTTTTTAGCCCCAAAGGCTACCGCTTGCAACAGACATTCATGACTCCCAGACAATGTATCTACCTTAAGTAACTGCCCGACGTTTAATGTTGTGTAACCAGCAGGTAGAGTAAAACTGTTTAATGGATTATCGTGGAGTTGACTACCAACATTCATGATTCCTTGAAGATAAATTATTATCACTTTGGTGATCCCCTTACCTTCTGGTGGCATTATCAGATCATTGTTTCTATCTGTCCAATATTTCGGTTCTGACCAGTCCACAAAACTAATGACATTCCCATTAGCCTCAGTGCAGTTTGTGTTTAGTGCTAATAATTAGCAGAGCAGTGAACTTGAGTTACATGACTTGGACTCAAGTCAGACTCTAGTCATACATTTTATGTCTTTAGACTTAATATGGCAAAATCAAAAAGGACTTGCAACTTCACTTGGACTTTAACACTAATGATTCGTGACTTCATTTGGACCTGAACCTTTTGACTTAAGAATATTCAATACCTTTTCCCAAACCCAAAGATTTACAAGTATGTTATTTAAAAAGTGGCCCATGGAACATTACATTTCTCTTCATTTCCTGAATTAACTAATGCTATTAATTCCCAGCAAGTCAACACTTAATTCCTCAGTGCCAATTTGTTTAAACAAATTCAACAGCATCTAGTTGCAAGAGAGAACTATAAAGACATAATGTTACTACTGTTATTACTTGGTGCCAGTCGGAAAATAATGATACCAAAGACAATTTAATTCAGGTACAAAAACTACACAGTGATCAACAAAAATGAATTACAGTAAAGTGTCTGTGGGTTGAAAATTATGTACAGAGATGCAACAACTTTCAACAAATTGCCTAAATACAAATTTTTAAAAAAACATTCTTGATTTGTAGTTTTATCATATTATTACCCTGTCATTAAAATTGCATTGTATTTGTTCAAGAGCACATTATGACCTGTTTAGGACTCAAAACTTTAGTTAAAAAAAAAAAGTTTAGTACCTTGGAAAACCACAGTACATAAATTTGCAACTTTTTCAGGATTACACATGCTTTACTTGTACTGAACCTATGGGGCTACAGCCTCAGGTTCTGATTTTTCAAGGGTCGCCTTAGCTTGCATTGGCTAGATCTGGTTGCTGGATATACAGTGAAACCAGTTAAAAATAATGAAGAGGCTGGCAACTCTAAACATCTCAGTCACCGACTGCATTCTCATTACATCATTGCATCATGTCACTCACATGTCACTCACTCACAAACATTTTAAAAATGTTTAAAGGACCTATAAGCAACATTCAGAATATTTAAAATATTCAGAATTTGTGCCTGGATTGCCCTCACATGTTTCTTAAAACGGAGATGGCTGAGCCTGGGACTAGATGGCTAATGGTGCTAACAGCGCGAACAGTGTTAACAGAGGCAACAGTGCTTACAGAGCTAATGGTTTTAACATGGTAAACTAGAGGGTGGCCAATAGGCTTCTGCCACGATGCCGTTCCCCTACTGTAGGTCAGGACATCATTATTAGTAAGCGTGGTATGAGCACAGTGCAGAATGGTGGCAATTAGCAAGCAAATGGGATACACACACGGGGGCTCACATACACTAACATGTATGAGCGGCTGGACCGTCTACCACAACAAAGAACAGATATGCTCTTATTACAGTAACCAAAGAGAGAGTGTGACTCCTTCTCTGCCCAGGACAACTTTACTCCACTATATCTCTACGTAGCAAATAGCTTTTCGCTGCTGTATGAATGCTCTGAATGTCGCATACAGCTCCTTTAAGGCTGAAAGTGAAGATATGTCTATTGCACCGTAGAAGCCATACTTATTCACACATCTGGCAGAGTGTGCACTGAAATATACGTGCACAGACACGCGTGAACACGCACAGAAACATTTCAGAAGGTGTCATGGCATGTGTAAGGAGCTCTGAAGATTAACTGGGGGGCCTTTCCTTCTTGGGCGTTATTTACAACCTTAGTGATCTGCTCCTGTTTTTATAGTGCTAATTACAGACACACACACATAGACACACACACGTGCGCACACGCACACACACACCTACACACACACACACACACACACACACACATGTGCACAAACAGCCTCTGGCAGGTAGATTAGACAGCCAAAAAACCCAAAAAACTTACTTACTCAGCATGAAAAGCCTTAATCAGAAGTGCTTCCTCATAAGTCTGGACTCACCACCAATGACGAGCAGTTGAGCTCAAGTCTTTAATTCAGTCACTGCTTTCCTGTTAAAATGTGTCAGATGATCTCAGGTCATTAGGCTTGTCATGAGTGTGCTGGTAAATGCCTATACATTGTTAACCCCTCCCTGTATTTGTGTTTCACAGTCTTTGGTGGCAGAGTAGTTCTCATTTTTTGGACTGGTGTCCTGTATTAATTTGCTATCATACTTTGTCTGTGTCTGTTCTGAATTAACTCGTTAGCTTGTTTGTGTTTTGTCTCTTCTGTCTCCAACAAATGACGAACAGATTTTGGTATAACATTGGCAGGAAACACACTCAGATTGACCCCACTGATCAGAGGAGACCTGTGCAAACTTCGTCATAAGCCCAGCATTATACGCCCAAGTGAGCTGGATGTAGCACTTTGCTATTTCACAGAAAAGATCTTAGCGGGCCTGTTCACACTGCCGCCATAGTAATTACAGCCATTGCAAGGCCTGACTGTCCAGTATAACATTAGTGACATGAGGTATGAGGGACACAGGATGCCTCGAGGACACCGAATGATTTTGTCTTCTAAGTCCAGGACTAATACGACTTGTAAAAGGGCCTGTAAAATGTTGGCTTTTAATAACAGCTTGTGATTAAAGAATAGATACATGCAGATAAATGTGTGTGAGGATTTTAAAAAGCAACGGAGATGATGAGGCAGTTTTTTTTGTGTGCGTGTGTAACATCTGTCCATTAATCACATACCTAGAAAACAGGACACAGGATTACTTTCATGCTCAAGCAGTTGTCTCAGTAGAAGCGTTTCTGAGAACCTTGGCAGATTACAGTATATGTACAGATGTTGCAGATAAACTTTATGTCTAAGTGTGTGTTTGTTTGGTTGTAGAGGTGCACGGAACTGAGAATCCACTCACCAGAAGACCCACTGCAGATGCTTGGTTCTGGCAGGAGTGGGCCAGGAAACAACACGTGCTAAGGGTGGGCACCAAGATGAAGACGAATCAACTAGAGGACCCTCGAACCCAGAAAGTTCTACAGGTCAGATCTAAACCTTCAACCTTTTGAGTGACAAGTCATGATTAACTTCCCCACAACTTATTACTTACTGTGACTCAAAGCAAAGTTGTAAAACTGACACAGTACCACACTGGTTGTGTGTCCTATGCCTTTATGGACCCATAACTGACCCCAGTCCATTTATGAGCTGAAATACTAAAGTAGTTGGTAGTTATCATAAATCTTACACGCAAAACTATTTTAACTTAACCATTCTCCTACTATCTTGTTATATAGACACAGCAGCAGAATACTGAAGAAAAACTATTTGCTCCTTAAAAATGGTTTCTTTTTCCCCACTGTTGCATTCCAGCTTATGTTCTGCATGCAGTCTAACAGTAGCTGTGTATGGCGGAGTGCAGTGAAATGTCTCCCTATCAAAAGCAGGCAGTAACAAATGGTCAACAATGTGCTGCGTGGGCAGCATTGTCTGGTACAGTGGTGCCCTCCTCTGGGCACTCTTTCACTCAAACAAACAAACGCACGTGCACAGACACACTTTTTAAAACACATCAGATTGTCTTACATTCATTCCCAAGGTGATTTGCCCAAACCTGAATCATAACAACCACATGCCCAATCACAACTCTTATTTTAACCTAACCCTCACTTTAACCAAAAACCAAGATTCAATCCTAAACTTTTATGGCTGTGGGGCTGAGTTTTGTCCCCATATAGGAAACGAGTCCCTGTAACATGACTGGTTGGACAGATTTTTGTCCCCACAACATGACTAATACAAGCAGATATTTATGTGCTTTCATAGAACTGTTGTGTGCATGTATTTGTTCATACATTTAATTGTGCCTATTGCAAAAACTGTCAAAATAAGAAAATAGCATGCAGCAGAGTTGATTATGTGGTAATAATCAAGTTACATGAAATCCAATTAAGGAAATGCTATGTTACTTTGTGTATATATTTCTTAGAAAATGCAGGACTTGCATTTTTAACTGACTTAGGCTAATATGGTGAAGTCCTTCTACTTTTCAGCACTACCTCTATGCATTGATTGTGACATTTTTCTATTATTTATGCACTGGCATCCCCATTGGAGGCCAACCTTACTGTCTTTAAGAGGCTGTGGCATGTTCATTTTTAGGGTAGCAAAAAGGTAGTGGTATCTTGTAAAACTAGACAACTTAAGGCATCCATTGGTGTCAGCCATGCTGGCATAATTTGTCAGCAAGGGGGCTAAATATTGCTCCAAAGTTAGGGTAAATTTTGGCAAGGGAAAACCTGGCACGGCCATTTTCATAGGGGTCCCTTGAACTCTTGCTTCAAGATATCTGGGTATGGGTAAGATAATAGGTTCTATGGGTACCCACGTGTCTCACCTAAACTTGAGAAGGCTTGATTTCAGTAAATGTTTTGTTCCTTACAATCAATGTACTCCTTCAAACTAAAGCTGCGTAGTCTTCTGTTAAAAGAAAAGCACCACCAGCCTATTTGAAGAACAATGAACTGCCTAACATGTATAGATGCATAACACATAACAGGATTGTTGTGGAACTTGAAATGCTAAGTGTACTGGTATGAGTCTATGCACATTAGATAACATTAACTGTAAAATAAGAAATCAAAGTATATCAGTATGCAATTTCTTTACTCTCATATTGACATAGTTGTCAACTAGCGTATAAACTTCAACAGGATAATAGAGTTCTTGAACTTCATTTAGGGCTTTTGGTTTTGGTGTACCACCCCAGGATTTTCTGTGACCCCATCTGGCCACCACTATGAAAAGTTTCTGGGGCACCACCGTATGTATGACGTAAACTGAAGCAGCATTAGCTGCATTAAGAAGGAGAGTTGCCTTAGTTTCAATAATTGCTCATAGTGAGCATCTGCATGATGCAAAGTGACATCAGACATTGTACATTGGAATGTGTTGTTGGAGGTTTAATGCAGTCTAGAGATTACACCCCCCTTCCCCGAATTCTTTACAATTTCACTCTCAAATGCAAAAAAAACAATTCCTGGAAAATCCTTAATGGGGTGGCATACAAACACAGATATTCTTTCTGTTTCATGCAAATGAGCTTGGGCCCGGGGGCTATGCATGTGGAGGCCCATATATGTCTCAACATGGCAAACAATTATGTGCATTTTGCTCATTTTCTCCCTCACTTAACTCACTCGCTTGCAGCAAAACAAAACAAAATAAAACAAAAAATCATAAGTGGGAGGGTACAAAACAATTGTCAAGATCATTAGAAGCAACAAAAGGGAGAATGCAGCAAAATGAGTCGTGCAGCTGGGCAGCGGGAGGAACTTTAGACAGCTGGTGTCAAGCATGGATGCACTTCGTTGTGGGTGTTCCTGTGAGGTCAAATACCGTACACAAAATACATGCTTCACTGTCAGTATGGGTTGCGTGACATTTGTAACCTTTATTAATTGAATACAAACACATTTGTTTCAGATAATTAAAGGTCTCATTTGCATCACATTTATATTATCATTTTCACACCAAGACCCTGTAACATCAGTTGCCTTGATTTTGACTTCTTTTTTTTCTTAATCTTTGACTCATAAAAACTTTTCTGATCATGCACTTGATGAGTTCAAAACTGATTGAACTTTGACATGCCAATTGTGACGCTCTCTATTGTCAAGTGACCTCTCATTCAAAGAATGGAGTTTACATCCTTGTCAAAATAATGCAAGTTGCAGAGAATAATGAGGACATGTGACTGGCTGCAGTAAGTGCATGCTTAATCACACTGACTAATGACAATATTGTAAAGTGCTGTAGAAGCTGTATAACTTACAACTTGGTTGAATTTTGTTAGCCCACTAGCCATACTAGCTCCTGCAGTTTATGCTTCCAGCCCAACCCATGCTAATTACTGCCAAAATCTGGTCAGACCACATCATAGCAAAACTACACTGTAAAGGCGCAGTCAGACCAACCCAATGGCAAGAATAAATGTTGGCATATGTTTGTGCTGCAAACTATGAATATGAAACACTTGTGCATTATTGAGTAGCATATCTGCTGAAACTGTATGTTTCTTTATGTTTAAACACTGCTGTGATTAAAGTGTAGTTATATCTAGGCACAGTAGCCACTTGGTTATGGTTAGGAAAGTATCATATCTGGGCTTAAAAAAATCTGTTTTTGGTGGCAAAGCCACGGCTGGAACTGCTGCCATTGTGTAGCTAAAAACAAGTGGTTTTGGTGTATATTGATCTTGAACAGTGGGTTGCAGTGTTCTGCAGCTTGGCAGCTATCTCGCCCAGGCGTCACGCTATCCGCCATCCTTTCTATGTCCCAGTAGCCCTTTTTACACATTGATGTTGCTACAGGGCCACTGCACTGTCTCTTTTGCATGCTGCCTTTGCATTTTTACACGGAACCAATGATGACCGCATCATGTCACACCAGTGTGTGAGTTTAGATAGCATGATCGCAGAATCAAAAGAAGTGTGATGGGCGTAGCATGTGACACATCAGCGTCAGCTTCTAGTATGGCATATTAGCATACACCCCAGCAGCACTTTATAAGCAATAACAATGGAATTAACATGGCAATAACAGTCACTTACCGTTCCTGTACTTGCTAATCTTGCTCTCTGCTCGGAGGGTAAGGAGCTCCCAGACCTGTTTTCCCAATTTGCATTTTCAGCTGCTGTTCTTCTTTGAGTTAGCTGCTAACTGCCAACAACTACTTCTTAAATCTCCCCCTATGATCCACATGCAACCTCACACCCATGCTGCCCATGATCCTGTCCTGCTGGCTGTCCTGTTTATGCAGACATCATTTAGGCATTGTTACTACCTCAGATGCTGCCTTAAAGATGAGACAACTCTGTCCCCCCATTTCGTGATCGTTACTTTTATACAGAATGGCGAGAAATTCCTGACTTGAAGAGGCAGTGTAAAAAAGGCTTGTGACAAATTCAGCTCATATGCATGTAATCAGAACTACATCATTTTAGAAATGTTGATACAATTGTAAAACACAGAAAGGTACCATACCCAAGTTTTGTACGAATGTACAATTCTGACATTCTCTTCTGGCAACTGGGCAACTAATATGTGACTTCAGCACATGAGACAAATTTATTTACTTGCATTACTACCGCTCAGCAAGGAAACACTGTGTGTAGAGACACAAAGATGAAATATTGTAGTAAAAGGACTAAAACTTTAAAGATATTCCCTCGAGTTGGCTAATTCAGCCTATATGGTGTATTTTTGCTTGGAGTGAGGACTGTTGAGTTTGTTCCCTATTTCTTACAGTATAGACATATTTATGAAGGGATCCCTTCAAGGCCAGTATGGAAAGAAGGAGTAATTAGCCTACAACAGTCAATAACTCTTTGAATGTATATATAGCGTGTGAGTATTATATGACATAAAATGGCCTGAATCTATCCTTTAATATATGAGAGCAGTAAGACGGCAGGGAAACTAGAGGATGCATGTCCTGAGGTGTAGGTTTATATGTGTCTTCATTATAACAGAGAGAGAGAGAGAGAGGAGGAATCAAAGGCTGTAGAGAGAAAGTGTGAAAGAGAGCCAGAGAGAAAGAAAAAAGACAGAGTACTTTTCATCCATATGTTCAGATGTCTGATAAGGTTCATGGCAGACTTCACCTCCTCCTTCCCTTTTCTCTTATCTTCAGCCAACTAATCATAAGACTGGACCTCTTTGATCCCACTGGCAGCCTGATCTCTCTGTTACAGTAAAGTGAGTGTGTGTATATATGTGTGCAGGTACACATGGATACTATACATGATAAGTGTGTGTGCGCACATCCATGCAGCAGAAATAGGGTGCACTGTATTTATGTAGGTGTATGAACATGTGTCTGCACAGGTCTGTGTGTGTGTGTGTGTGTGTGTGTGTGTGTGTGTGTGTGGCCATGACCACCAGCTGAGTGGAGCAGTCTAGCCACTCCTGTTCCACTCCACCAGACTCACATCAATAATATTGGCTGAACTTTCTGCTTGCCTAACTGCACCTCATAAAAATGTTAGCTATAAATGTGTGTATTTGTGACATTTTTACAAGACACACAGAAGTATTTTATTTCTCCATTCTTTTTCTTGGACAGAGCACATTCCTTGGCCTCAAACTTAAGCCAAACTTACTGTATACTTACTCTATTTCTTCTCTCTTGGTGATTATATTTAACTGACTTGAAGTAGTTTTTCTTCTGTGAATATATGTATGTCTGCTCCAATAAGTGCTTCATAGTTATTACTAGATTTGGTGTTATTAATTTCCCCTTTGCTCGTCCTTTCAGAGTGCCTGTCAGCAGGAGCTGGACCAGGTCTTAGAGGAGATCTCCAAAATGACCTCTGAGGACAATAGAGGCCCGCTGGAGAACCTGTATGAACTCAAATTTCCAAACTGCGACAGACATGGACTGTACAATCTCAAACAGGTGAGGCATGGACAGAGCACTGGTCTTACATCACATCATTCTACTGTACCTGAACACACACACACACACACACACACACACACACACACTGTTTACTGAGTAAGAACATTGTGACTGGCTGAATGTATAGTGTCCGCTAATTAATCTTCAAATTTGAACAAACTTTCTTTGAGTGAATCATCATATTAGAAGCTCCCAAACTGTATTAGACTGAACATGGCAGCTTCATCATTGAAAAACATGGTAAACATGACAAAGGGCAAGGTGTATGTATGTATGTACTGTATGTATGTATGTATGTATGTAGGCACAAAGCTAATGACATCACCCAACACCATGAACAGCAAATTGAACCACACACTTTAGGTAAACACTTGAAGCATTTTTGGATTGAAGCATTGATGATACATTGTTAAAAAATATCTGCTATACATGTCTTTAAAAAATAATGTTTAAAATATTTGTTTAATAAAAAAATGCAACCAGTGCAGTTAAGAGGACAGGATGACCTCCCAAACAAGACTGGAAAATATAAAAAAACAAAGAAAAAAAACAACAACAACACAAATATAGTAAATATCAAACTTATGTCTTGTAGGCAAAGATCAACAGGAGAGGTTTACATGTATAAGAATAGTTAAATATCAAACCCTGTTTCCTGTTGAAGAAGACAGCTTGCACAGTCCTCACATTCTTAAACATCTCAAGTTGCTAAGTTTTCCTGGGAAATCTTGGGTCCTGACATGCACCACCCACTCAAACACTGTTGCAGACCAAGTTCATCCCCTGGTGGAAATGAGGGGATAACCTCCCCAATGGCAGTGCCACCCCTCCACCCCCAGCAGGACAATGCGCTATGCCACACTGTAAAAAGTGCTTGGGAATGGCATGGGGAACATGATAAAGAGCTCAAGGCATCAACCTGGCCTCCGAAATCCCCAGATCCCAATCTCATTGAGCATCCATGGGACACGTTGATGCCACAGAGGTCCTGTGTCCATGCCTCAACAGGTCAGAGCCAAGTCTGATCTATGGTGGGGCCTCTGACCTGCCATGGCATGGACACAAGCTCTGGCAAAGTCCTGTGGTGTCTGGCACCAGGGATTGGAGGCAGAATCTTTTGAGACCTGTGGAGTTGCAAGATGGGATACCACCATGTCCAGTGGATACAGTTTGGGATCTGGTCATTTGAATGCCAGGTCGATGTCTTGAGCTCTTCGTCACTTACCTTGGGCCATTTCTGAGCAGTTTTTGTGGTGTGGCATGGTGCATTGTCACTGCTATCAGATAGTGCCGTTGCAATGAGGAGGTGTACTGGTCTGCAACAGTATTTGGGTGGGTGCTGCATGTCAAGTGGCACTCACATAAATGCCAGTACTCAAGGTTTCCCAGCAAACACTCAGTTTAATGGGATGATAAACATTATTCTCTTCACCTGTCAGTGGTTTTAATATTGTAGCTGAGTGGTGTAAATACATACCTTGCTTTTAGCCATTCATCTGATGAAAAATTGTGACAAAGCAGGCAACTGCCAGAAGGGCCCCAGAACTCCAGGGGTCCAAAAAGCTCCACACCAATAAAGACCTAAAGGTCATGCTTTAATACATCTTGAGGCCCTGTCTTGAAGAGAGTCCCTGTGTTTAAATCTACATTTAGCCAGCAGGGGCCCAGCAGCTCACTTTTGCCCCATTGCTTTCTAGTTGGTTAATCGTCCATGTGCAGTTGGGTGAAAACATTGCCTGCTCATGTAGTTAATAACATTCAGGAGTGTGTGGTTCCTTTAAATCTTCCTCTTTACTGAGTCTGTTATCTAATCTGGCCTATATGAACACAATTACTGTTCTGTATCCAACTATAAATGACAGTAATAATCCACATTGTCTTCTGGGTAAAAGTGTATATATTTTTTCCATATTCATTTTGATATCAGAATAGTTTGTTTCGTTAAAGGTTCCAGGATTTCCAGAGATATCAGAGATAAAATGTCAGGCAGAATTTTAGAAAAGTGTTGCCCATTTAAAAACCTATAAAACACCCTGGACAGGTCGCCAGACTATTGCAGGGGTAACACATAGAGACAGACAACCATTCATGTTCACATTCATACCTACGGGCAATTTAGAGTCATCAATTAACCTAACCTGCATGTCTTTGGACTGTGAGAGGAAGTCCGGGCACCCCGAGAAAAACCATGCTGACATGGGGAGAACATGAAACTCCGCACAGAAGGGCTCCCCCACCCTGGGTTCTGACCCCCACCCTTGGTTCGAACCAGGAACCCTCTTGCAATTCATATTATTATTCTTTCAGCTCTTTGAGCTTCTTTGAGCTAATGTATCGTATTGTAAACACCAAAACGCACGGTGAATACACTATACACAATTCTGGCCACACCTCAATCAGTGATGTCACAGCAGGTGTTTTTCATTCGCCGTCAAAGTCAAAACACCTGCTGTGACATCACTCATTAAGGTTTGGGCCAGGGTCATGACATGTTTAAGTGTTTCAGCCCATACAGAGCGGCGCAGCAGACGTTTTCTGCTCTGTGGGGTTCACTGACTTTGATGATGGAGAAAGCTTCTGTTGTGATCAGTGTGTGTGCCTACATGTGTAACATGTTTTAGTCTGGTCAAACTTGATCACCAGTTTCTCTCCCTTTGTAGTTTTTCCCAGTTGCTTTCACCTCACATCTCACACACACTCATCCTGTATCATTTTGTGAAGGTCTCCCTTGGATTTCCCCTCTCTTCTCTTTCATACTAACACACACACACACACACACACACATGCATACACACACACACACACGCATACACACACAGAAACTCTCTTGTAGCAGTCTGGCAAAATCACCCTGGCAAAAAAAAAAATATAACCTCCCCCTCACTCCCACCTGCCACCACTCTCCACACAACCCCCCTTTTTTCTATACACGCACACACACCCTCCTCTTAACACTCTGCTTTTAGACACACACACATGCATGCACACACACACAAATGCGTGCGGAGATGTTGTCATGAATGAGGCAACAGCTTCTGAGCTCAAGGTTACAAGGCAATAAAACTGTTTGGCGTACTTCATGGGAAGACTTTTGTTAAGCCGAGGAACGAACTGTGCTTCCGACCGGGGGATGAATTTGAATTCTGCTCATCCATAGAAATCAGACAGAGGACAAACAAGGTCACATATCCAGTGTTTTCTTACGAGGATAGTAGAGCAGAAAAGAAGATTTGAATAGGCGCCACAGTTTCCTAAAGCAGGGCTCTCAACCACTCAGCCAATTTTCATCACTGGTCACAAACAACAGCATTGTTTCGGACCGGAGTCCTCGGTTCCCAGGGAGGAACACTGTACCTCCTCAACACTCGGCTCCCTTTTGGAGTTGTCCCTCCTTGTCGCGGGGTAATTACTGTAACTGTCACTTTTTTTGTTCTTTCTCATCGAAGGAAGAAAATGGAAAGTCTTTTCTTCCCCCCCAGCTCTTCATTCTTTTTGACGTCTCCTCCACGGCCGCCCCGTGTGCGCGGCGTGAACTGTGTCCACTTCAATTACGACCTCATTTCTGAGTAGAGGGGGGCTCCATGGGGGGGGGGGGGCTGGTCTACTGGCATGCTTGTGTGTGTGTGTGTGTGTGTGTGTCTGTGTCTGTGATGGCATATGTGTCTATGGATGGGTTGTGGGTTGTGAGTAGGGGGCATGAACTGAGGATGGGCTGTTATTGGGTGAGTGTTGTCCCACCCAAACCATTGCCCTCACTCTCATCCAATGGCCCCCCGCCACCAGAAGATCCACAAGTACACACACACACACACACACATCTCAAGCCACCGTACGCCATGCTTCATTAACACACCCCCCACTTCCCACTGTGTCTCTTTACCCCTCCCTCTTTTTTTTCCAGTGTTTTCTAACTTGTCTATTTTGTGTTTTTCTTCCTTCTTTCCAGTGCAACATGTCCACCCACGGCCAGCGGGGCGAGTGCTGGTGTGTTAACCCATTAACCGGGGTCCAGATTCCAGCAACGCCTAAAGTCAGAGGGGATCCAAACTGTAACCAGTTTCAGGAGGAGCTCAGAGCGATGCCCACTGCAGCAGTGTATCAATAGCACAATCCAGCAGATCCTATGACATGGTTGGGTCTTAAAAATTCTAAATCTGGGAGGATTTTTCCATGAATATGGTTATGCTATCAACATGTAAAGAAGTTGCTGTAGTTGAATGTTTTTGTCTCTTTTTTTTAATTTGCACCAGGTTTAAGGTTAAAATATTGACTGAACTAAGGGATAATTTTTACTCTTTGTCAGCACATCTCATAAAGACACAAACCATTCTAAATGCTTTCCAGGTTCCCTAGCTGGTATGTGGGGCTGTAACTCTTAGAAAGGGGGCACAAATATATGGGTTCTTTTTATTCTTTTCAATGTCCTGAAAAAGCTGGACATTGTAGTTTTCAGCATATGTTACTCCCCATTTTAAGTACATAGTTTATTTGTTGGGGATATTTTTAGCTGTGGATTAATACCATTTGGTCCGCTACTAAGTTTTTATGCATTTACAACAGCAGGACAGTTTATGTGAGGTTGACTTAAACTACAGTGCCAGGTCTCAGTTTAATAATGAAACATGCCACCAAATGCATCTGCCAGTCTGATCCTTATGACTTGTGCCAAATGCGTCCACAAACAACTGCCTACTACAACTGACGCAGAGTAAGATTAGAATCATTTTTAGTTGTGTTTTTGACCCCCTGACAAAAGTAAGTCCAATATTCACTCTAGTTTTAGCTCTATTTTGATCTCCACCAACTCATGAGGAAAAAAATCTGTCTATTTAGCTGCTAAATGCTCCACTGTGGTTGCTAACTTTGTCTGCCATTTGGTGCTGTGTAACTAGCGTAAAGTACAGTGGGTTAAAATGGTGCAGTGGATATGTTCAACCTGTTTCATTTCCAGGTTGTCAAATACTGGTGCTTTGTCAAGCCCCCGGCGTCTCATAGTGAGGCACAGGGCACCCTTTAGCATATTAATGTGACACACAACTAAAACACATTGAAAAACATGGTTATCATTGTGAAATGGTCGCAGTTAAGTTTAAGCAACAAAACTACTGGGTTTGCTTTAGAAAAAAGATTGTGTTTTCAGTTGAGATAAGTATGTTTTGTACATAACAAAACATGACATTGATATGTCATGTGAGTGACATCAATACGCCACAACCGGATGTAAATTACTTAACATCATGTTAACAGAGAGGTAACTTTTGCTTTTACACGGGACAGCAAGTAGTGACATATGAGTCTGTTTTTTGAACCAATCCCCCCCCCCCCCGCCACCCTACATGAATTTTCTCACTCTTTATACTACATGAGTTACTCTTAGCATCAAGTATTGTCACAAAAGGGTTTACAGAGTTAGTTGAAAGCCCCGGTACGTCTCATAATTACACAAAAGGCTGTCTTTGGCGTTATGGTCATAGCCAAGGGGCATGAGAAAGTGTTGGTATTGACAGCCTGGTAATGAGAGCTAGCTGGTAGGTTATGGTAGGACAGCAGTGACACTGCACCAAAACAGGAAAATTGCAATGAGCTATAAGAGGCTAAATGCTCTCTAAGGCTGAGGGTAACTGCAGAGTTGGGTGATAATTATCTGTTGGTTTGTCTCTATAAGCAACCTGTTTCACATTACACATTATCATTTGATCTATTGTTTGCAGAAAAATGTTAATATGTGCAGCTTTAAGGTTTAACCTACTACGGCTTATATTTGAATTCAAAGGACTTATATACTATCTTAGTAACTGTTGTGATTTTGTATTTGTTTTACAGTGACAATGTGACATCTGCCCAGTAATCCAGAAAAGTCCAGGTGACATGTGAATATTATGTTGACTTTTTCATGAAAACATGGAACTTGGTATACTTGTACTGTTTGAGGCCCTGAAATTTTCAAATATGAAGCCACTGTAGAAGTGCCTCATGGTAGCCATGGTGCACACTTAGCTATGCGCCATAACTGAATAATGTTATTTACATCATATTCCATGATCTAAACATGATGACACACAATAAATGATTTCTAGTCAATACAAGTGTACCAAGTTTTAATCTTTAATGAAAAAATGAACATATTACCTCAAATGTATTACATATCACCTGGACTATGAAAAATAGCATTTTGGCTTAATCTATATTTATCAGCGGTGTGATTATTATCAGATTAACCCAGAAATCCAGATTTTCCAACCTAAAAATGTGAATCGTGCCAGGTTTGATATTATGCCAATGAACATGTACTTTAGGCAGACATGCCTTTTGTGTACTTGAGCTGAGGTTAAAGACTTAACAGGTGCTCCTTGAAATCCTTTCACATATCAAAAATGTGTACACACAATCTAGAACTCATTTTAGTGCCAATGTGTTGTGTAACCTTGTTTCTATGATTAAATACTTTGCAAGCAGGTAATTAAAAGTTTTGTCACTGTCATATTTTTCACTGATTACATCTTGTAAAAGTTCGCTGTTGATGCATGAACTTTGCTTCCTACATTGTTAAATTAATCAAACTCAACTTTGCTCTTTGCATCTTAACTCAAGATGTAAAATCTGACACCATCCATATGTTTGTATGAATCCACACCCAGCAGTTTGTTGTTGTTGTTTGTCAGCAGTTTTCCCATCAGCACTTGTCAACTCCAAGTAAGTGTCACAAAAGAAAAATGGCACTTACGGTAAAACGATGGAAACTGCTGTGTGGCATCAACACTCCTATCACTGCTGTGTGTGCAGACATGCATGTGTATGTGTGTGTGTGTGTGTATGTGTGTGTGTGTGTACCCATGTGTTGCTGGGGTTACTAATGAAGTGTTGACATAAGGAGGGATTAGGATGTGGGCTGACATTGACAAATGTGATACTAAGTGGGTAAAGGTGTCTATGAATAAACCAACCCGAGGACGCAAATGCACTCAGGGACACACACACACACACCCACACCCACATAGCTGTGCTGCAGATCATGGTCTAAAGAGAGGTGACCAACAAAAGGATATAGGGGCGCTATTAATGATTCTGAATTCCCCCGACAAAACCAGATATTGGGACCATCGTGACAATGTGTCTAACTTTGTATAGTATTGTTTCACTTTTGCAGCCTGTGCTGGAACAACTCTGCCATCTGTGAGCTGAAAGCAATCCACTGTTTCTGCCCGCCAGTCAAGCCCATTATCATGAGTGATGGATGACATGGAATGTTTTTATCTTATTTCAAAAATGTATCTGTAATCCATCGCAGCCACTGTAAAAACACACAGTAAGTTGATTATCCAGCAAATGCAGCACAATTGAAAAGCTGTGTTATATATTTTTATTCCTGCTGCGATTTTGGAAGTATTTGCAACCGCTTGCATGTGACTTAGAACAATAGTTTCGCAACCTTCTGACATGTCAACGGGTCCTTGTGGAGTTAAAGTGATGGTGACATTCTCATGAATCCCAGTGACATGATGATTCTCTCAACCTCCAAGGGGTTTTAAAATGTGACTGAGTTCAGAAACAAAGCTGCATAGATGTTATTCTAAATAAACTGAAACTAGCCTCATGCAGACATGAAACAAAATGTATGTGAGTGCATCTTTTAGGCCAAACTGACTTAAACGACAGGTCAACATGTCACATTTGTTACAGTACTCACATGCCATATGTAAAAAAAAAAATGCATTCTAAAGTTCCGCTGAAGCTCCTATAAGGCTTCAGATACCCAAATTAAGATGTATGAAATGTAGGGTGTTTTTAGTGGAAAAATTGTATGTCCTTCTGTGTCTCCACTGAGCCATGGCACAGAGATCCATCCTAGTAGTCACATGTAGGTTTGTTGCGAGGAAACAACACCGGCAATAAACCTACACACTGGCACCCAAGATACCCACTCGATTTGGCTGACTAAAAGTAGCCTTAAAGGGATAGTTCAGATCTTTTGAAGTGGGATTGTATGAGGTACTTATCCATAGTCAGTTTATTACCTACAATGGATGCCAGTTGGCACACCCATAGTTTGGAGAAGCAGGCAGGAGTACCAACATGGAAGCTAAGCGATGTACTGTGGAAAGGGGCAGCAGCAAAACTTATTTTAGCCACCTATGTAAAAAAAAGAAATCAAAAGCAATTTCAGTGTATGCTATATTTAAAAAATGTTCACAGTTCTATCGCTCTCTTCAAAGCTTCAAAGCTGCTGGGCTACCACTGCCGATCAGTCAATCAGTTTGTTTGTGTTATTGTGGGACTTTGGTGAAACTGAACTTATCCTTTTAAACACCAAAGTCACACAATAACACAGACAAACTGATCATGGCTGCAGAAGACCAGCAGCTCCCAAGCTTTGTAAGCCAAAATTACTGTTTTTGCAAATGGAGTCTGTTGGCTTTGACAAGATCAGAGATGGGGAAAAGGCATCCCCATGGGAACAGGTTGTCTCATGGGAGGGTAAAGTGATGGAAATACTCTTACTAGCATACACTTAGACTAAAAGTGGTTAAAATACATTTAGTTGCTGCCCCCTGTCCACAGCAGCACATTGCTTAACTTCCAAGTCCTGCCTGCTTCTCCAAACTAGGGGGGTAACAGCTGATGTTTGAGATGCATTTTTGCACAGAATGTTGTCCCTTCATCTTTTAGTGTGTAGTCACATTAGGAAGAGAATGACCCATAACTCTCACATTTTCATATAAAGTGAGCGCTGTTTTAAGGAAGTACTAAAAAAGAATAGAAATGTGTGGTAATTCTCTTGATCGGACTCAATGCAGAAGAGGTGTCTGATAGACTTCACTGACAAATTGAGATATATGATTGTACAGGCAACAGTTAGGACATATGTAATGTTTTTATATGTTATAAGTACATTTCACACAAGGCTTTCAAAAGTCCCCGAACAAAGGTCACCAATGATTTGCAATCAAAATGATTCAAGACTTGGGTGTAAAGAAAGACTTCTTTGAAGTTCTGGCCAAAAGTGTATCATATGAGACCACTCCTGACTGGCTTTGGCCTTGTAACCTTATACATGTGCCAGTGAGCCAGTTAGCAGAGCCCCAGTCCCAGAAACGCTCTTTCAACTACAGCTTTACAGCTTTGTTCAGTTTTTGTGACACGCTGTTTTTTTTTTTCGTTTTTTTTTCTTTTTATTTTGTCTTATTAATGCTGGGTTTTTGGCAGCAAGTTTGCTTTAAAAATTTGACAGCTTGGCTTGGTGTCACACATGGATCTCGGGCGTCCTCGGGTTGTTCAGCACATTTAATGGTAGTTTGAAGCTGGCCTTTTCTGAAAACAAATCAAAACAAGTGTCTTTTGTTTTGGGTTTGATAGATCAGGCACAATGGGCTGAGGAGGGTAGTTTAGCAGTGGGAATAAGAGTGGGGGTGAGTATGTGTGTGCTTGCGTGATTGTGTCTGTGTGTGTGTGTGTGTGTGTATGTGTATGTGCAAACGCACATGTGCGTGTATTGGCCTGGAGAGCCCGAAGATCTGCCCTACTTTCAGGCTAGTATTTCTTTTGTTAGCATTCAACAACTTCCCTTGATATGTTGATGGTGGGTCTGCATCTAAGACTCACGGAAGCTGTACTTGTTGAATGTTAACAAAATAATTGTTGTTTTATCTTTGTTAAAATGACATGGTGCTCCAATGTTTAGAGGAAGTACAACAGCAGAGACATTTATCAGTGAATATGGACAAAGGAGCCAAGTATTTTGTTTCAGCTTTGTAGAAAGACTTATTAAAGAAGAAAACCTCTATGCAACAGTATGCAGTGTAACAGAGGCTTGTCAGACCTGGAGATGAGGGAAGTCTCCATAGTCAGAGAGTAACAGTGCTGGAAATCTCTGCACATGGTTATGCATGTGCATATTTGCACTTCACAAAAGTAAGAATAACTTAATACATTTAAGCTAATATGTATTTGTCTAGCCTAGATCCACGGCATAATAGAGACTATAAGCAAATACATTTTATAACAAACAAAGCTTTATTACAATTTGGGTAGTAGTTCTGGCCTGAGGGTATATGCAGGTATACAGAGCATACCAACCTCTTTTTCTGGCCATTTACAGTACACCCACCTATTAGCCAAAAAAACACTGGAATATATAGAAGAGTATACCTACTTCCTCCTCTGTAACATACCCTTCTACCTAGTAGTACGCTCACCTTATCAACTACCACTACACTACTGGTTCGGACCATCAGTTCTCTCACGTTACATTGTATTATGCTCAGCAAATGAATTGCTGAGGCCTCGGAGCACAGTGACATCGCTTAAGATTAGTTGGACAGGGCAAGAACTATGGATTTATACAGAGAACTGGTACAGTTTTGCAGGCAGGGCCCTGTTCATTCCTATGAAAGTTGCTCAGCAGTGCAAAAAGCCAAATCTAAATTTCTGCGGTTTGAAATTACCCAGATCTTCCGCATCCATAGTCCATAGAGCATCAGTGGCATCATGTGATGGACCCGAAAGTTGTAATTCCACATTTGGCCACTATGTATACTTGGCTTCAAAGCCCAGCGCTGGTCCTGGGGGCTTGGCAAGAACCATGAGTGGGTACGACTACAGCCAGAATGGCGGCTCAATGTTGAACCTGGAGAATGGTCTTTACCCTGTGATGGACGTTTACAACAGACTGTTTGGTTTGTGAATTTACCATTTGCTTTCATTTTATCTTCCAAATAATTGGTCTAACCTGAGGGTCTGTTTACAGCCTGTGTAGCCACTTGTGTTAAGCCCAGTCTGACCTATTTTTAGCAATGTAGCTACAGTCTGAGATCTGCAATTACTTTGCGCAGTTTAAAGTTAATGCCAGAACTACAAGCTTAAAAAGTTGCAAATGTCAGATTACTATAAATCTCTCATGAGATACTTTTTAAATCTCTCGTTTATCTCTTTTCCTACTGATATAAATCAGTTTTTTAAGAAAAAAACTAGATCATTAGTGAAATACATATAAAACTTTGCCCTTGACTAAGATATTGCAATGCATGGCAGCCAGAACAAGAATTATAGCTGTGCTTTCAGATGTTCCTTTTATGGTTTGTAGGATGTAAAATCTTAATCTCTAAATGTGTTTACTTAACATGCAGTTGTGGTTCTCACAGTCACATCCGATCCACGCTGAAGAACCTTCCATTTAGGATTCCGGCTCTAAGTCCATCTTTGATGAAAGGGCTTGGATGAAAACTAGCAGGCACTTGTCTGCCGTCTACTACCACCGGCATCGGAGGATTCCACCACTAAGTCATGTGATTTACTCCCAAGCGCTGTACATTCTTTCGAATCTCCTTTCATCTCCATCCCAGTGATGAAAAGAACCACCATTAGCTCTTTAAGAGATAGTATTATACCAGAGCACAAGCAGTGATTTGCAAAGATCCCAATTATGCAGTGTAAACATCTGCATACCATTTGTACACTCATGTCTTTAAA